AGTCTGCTCAAACCCCCAAAGATGAGACTAAATGATGCCCTTGGAGCTCATGGCCATTCACTTTTTGTTACAGGCTTGGCTTGATTTATATTCTGACTAGCAACAAAGAAAGAAGACAGAGAGTGAGTGCTGGAAGTAAAAGCCAGTTAATTAATGCAATCTAGGGAGAAAATGCAGTATACCTTGAATTGAAATCATTAAACCTCACTGAGCTTCTGGAAAAAAACAAAACAAAACAAAATAAAAAAAACCCCACAACAATAAAAAGAAACAAATCATCTTCTTGATGATTAGATGATCTTAGAGGTCTTTTCTAACCTTTATGATTCTATGATGCTATGCCCTGTACACGTTTAAATAAGATCAGTCACAGCTGAATTGAAAAACAGTGGCTGGTGACATATCATAGTCTTTCTTACACTATGGGGGGGGCAGCAGGGGCCAGTCCTCAGCACTAGCAGCTCCTGGGAGACAGGGATGAAGCTCAGAGTAGGAGTCAGGATCAGGTCTAGTGAGGGGAAGTGGGGTCAGAGATACCATATAGAAACTTAAATTAAGCTTGCTGGGTTTAAATTTGCTAACTGAGTTGTCATCATCAGTTCCTGTTTTAGTTTGAGGTTTTTTTCATTTTACTTAGAAAATCTGATCCAAGAAGTAAGAGTAACGCAGAAACAATTCCAGGCCAAAGCAGGAAGTTTACCTTTTCTTTTTTATATAATTCATTTTCAGACCTACAATGTTCAGTGATAAAGGCATGAAAACTAGTAACAAAAAATATTGGAAGCCTGCACGGTGTTTTACTGGACTGGGGAAATTTCTTTCCTGTTTCTGTTCTATCTGGAGTAAACTGTAAGCCGCCATTTGCAGTTGTTGTTGTTAGTTTTTCAATTCTTTATTTGCACAGTGAAATCTAAAACTCCATTGAACATGCTGCTAATATTCACAGATCTAAAGATTCAGGAAAAACAAAAACAGAAATCGTCTTATTTTTCTCATCCAAAAGAGAACCTTTTATAGTGCAAAATCTATGAGTAGCTGGAAATTGAAAAAACATTCATTTCAAAGTCAGATTTCTATTGACTGCTGTTCTGTGTGCTTTATATCCTTTATTGGTAAGCAAAATGTACTCCAGTGTTACAGCAGATGCCTGTATTACTATCCTTATTTTACTGAAACATAACAGAAATTTCATAATGCTGTTTATTGTAGAGGTGGGAATAGAATCTAGTTCCTAAATCAAAATAATAAGAAAACCAACCAACAACAGTGATTATAATATAAAATAATGTAAGCCCACATGGGTGCTACAATATCAGGATCTCCCCACATGCAGGTTAATGAGCTAACTAGCAGTCTAGAGAGCAATATGTAATTTGGTGCCCTTGGTCTCTCTGTCAAAAGAATATATAATTATTCTTTGTAAAATGGGACAGCTTCAAAGAAAGCAATGAAGAGCTCTTCATCCTTCCACTCAGAACCTAAATCCTTCTGGATTTGATGATTAGAAAGGGCTGGGAAAAGAAAATTGGGTCTAGATCCCATCATATAAAAGAAGCATTTGTCCTCAGGGGCCAAAATTATGGGCAAATATTATGATCAGTATGGTATAAAAAGGGCCTCCTACAGTACTTCTTTCTCTGGCAGTGTTCTGTTCAATACGTGCCTTCTCAGAACACTTAAAAATAGGATCCTTCAGAAAACCCAAGGTGTTAAAGGCTGGGTACAAAAGATTTACAGAGCAGGTGGTATGACGAGAGTATTTTTTCAGGACTTGAGAAATCTTTATTCAGTTCTCCCTTTCTCAGATAATCCAACTTAGAGCCATTTCTAAAATTAGAGTGTTGTCTCCTATTTTGCTTTTTCATTTTACAAAAACAATTAAACATTTATTACTGCAGGAATTATGTACATGTGCTACCTTATACAGATTATCACTCACTAAATGCAGACTCATTTGCCTGCTCCCCAGTGAATAATATTTTATACAAAGTTTTTGCTCAATAGATATTTGTAGTTTGGTGTACAAAATGATACTAGGCATATTATGGAACCATTAGAGAGCTTGCTTTCTTGCCAGAGGGAGAGAGCAAGAGAGCAAACCGCATCTGAACATGTTAGTCATATAAACGAATGTTTTATTGGAAAACACTCAGACATAATGGTGGTAAGGGCAGTCTAAAAATCTGATACTAACAGAAAGCATTACTGGGAAGGACTTACCTGGCACTTACCTGGCAGATGTTAAAAAGATCAGAGGTTTTGGACAATTGGCTAAGTTCCCAGAAAGGAAATCTTTCTTAAGTCATCCCCTTGAGGACAACAGAATTACTGTACCAGTTAGGTTGGGAGAAGTCACTTCTTTGCTGTTTTCCTGGCTGAAGTATCTGCACACTAGCATGATAGGTTGGAAAGACAAAACAAAAACAAAACAGTAAGAATGGGACTTTTGGAATTGCTGGTTTAAAAAGAGGATTTACTCAGCCCTCTAACTCCCTTGAACTATTTTGATGGCCTCAGATATCCTAAGGCTGTGTCTGGACCTGATTTCCCTGGCTGAGCCTGATCTGACCTCTACCAAGGGGCAAGGTCCCAGCCTCAGCTCCTCTGCACCCAGACAGCAGCCAACGCTCCCAGTTTTCCTGCCTGATTGCAGGACCAGCATTGGCAATGCCTTCACCAGTACGTGTTCATTCAGTTTTTTCCTACAGACTGTACTGATGCCAGGCACAACATGCCTTTGTTGTAAGAGATATTCCAGAGAGTGCGGAAAAAGGAATATTTCACTTTGAGATGAAGTTTTGATAGTTTTTTTTTTTTTTTTTTTTTTCCTTATTGCTATGGTACTGTAAAATAATAGAGTATTTAGACTGCAGAAAATAGCTGTTTCAAATAAAGAACATTTCCTACGCATTTGTTGTCACTAATATTTCCCAAGGCCCTTCTTCTGTCTTCTTGGTCTTGGTTTGCTCTTGCAAAGAAAAAATTTGTATCTACAAAAGTTCTGCCTCTCCTTTTCCCCAGTTTACTTTCCATCCCAAGATGCTTAAATTGGTCTGAGAGTATCATGAGCAAGCAAAGGTGATTGATCAGCCTTTGCTCATAGGAGAGAAATGAATATAAATTTATTTGAAGAATTTTCTATTCATTGGTGTGAAGCTAAAATCCTCCTGCAATACTTTTGTTTAAAAAGTTTAATCTAAATATTTAAATCCAAATTAAAATAGTTTAATCTAAATAATCAATAAGAATAAAGGTAGGTTTGTAGTCTAGTGTGTACTAGCGTGATTCCTTCTACAACAAGTGAATATCTTGCTCTGTCATCTATCATAAAGGTACACTGGCCCATTAATCAAAATACCAAACAACTATTTAGAACTACATTTTTATAACTGAGTAACTATACATAAAGAATCCATGAGTGCAAATGTTTAAAAAGTGTGATACTGGTCCCTCTAAAAGCTAAGTTACAGAATACATGAGATGATATTAAAGTGTATCTGAATTAACCTGTTTGTACTACTGAAGCATATTGGTCCATCACTTTTTTGGCAGCCACTCAGTGCTTTTAGACTGTTGCTAGAACTGAAAACCTATCCCTACTCCCATTCTATTTCCAGGATTGGTGTTCCTCTTGGGTCTTTGAAGAAGGAGGAAAGGTATGACAGAGACTGTTATTTCTCCCTGCTGGTGAGAACACCTCTTTGGATTGATTTTGTATTTTAACACCCTACTCTATTCCCCCTGCAATTTATCTCAACATATAGAAGCAAAATTGGGAGAAAATAGCCAAAAATCTCAGAAGGCTTTGAACTCTTAAACAATATGGAAGATCACAAGAAGCTCATTCAAGTTAGAAGAATCTGCTCGTCACCTTGAATTATATCAGCACCATCCTTCTCTTTATTCCCCTTAGAGTGTGTGGAGTCAAAGGCAAAATGGTATAACAAATGACACTCTGTGGCCTGCTGATTTCTGGCTGCCATTTGTATGTTAAATCACCAGCAGCTGTCATGATCAAAAGGAGAAAGTAAGTCAGAGTTGGAGGGGAAAAACACACTCACACACACACAAATGAGGGCTTCATTCCTTAGGGGAGGAAAGTAATATGAAGTGCAGATGGAGTGCTATAGACAATACAGGTGATGAATGAGTAACTCACAATGTTGTAAAAAGAACGTGGGGTAAGTGCTTTATAAGCGTCATTTACATGTCTCAGTACTTGTGACCAAATTTGTATTGTGCTTTGCCTCTCAAAATGTGAATGGAAAATGCCTTTAAATGTCAAGCATTTTTATTAGGGTTGTTTATGTGCACTTATGCTGTACAATAGTTAATAAAAGCAGCAAAGGTTTGGAGCCTCGTAAGGTTACAGCTAGTTGTCGTATTCTTGCTGTTATGCCATCTGCTTCTTAGCACAATTAATTTACCTAACTTGGACATCACCAAGAAGCCACTTTTGGGTTATCTCTCTTTGGACAAGCTGGGGAGCCCTAGAGAGCAGACTATTGCTGCTGAAGCACCATCTGGTCCTTACCCTGGCTGAGGAGAGGTTCCTACACAACTTGAGACAAAAGGGAATTTGTTGCTTTTATGCCTAAAAAGCCTTATTTTATGAATTTTTGAGCATCCAGAGCTCCTGTTTGGGTCAAAGGGTGCTGGATATTTACACTCAGTATTTTTCAAAAGTAAGTTAGTACATCAAAAAACAGTCTGACTTCCTTTCTCTCATAATTATGTATGCAGTTTTTCCATCAACTGTAT